CCGAGTAGCTGGAATTACAGGCATGCAACAGCACACCCAGCTAATTTTGTGTCTTTAGTAGAGATGGGGTTTGTTCATGTTGGTCAGGCTGGTCTTGAACTCCCGGCCTCAGGTGATCCACCCACCTAGGCCTCCCAAAGGGCTGGGATTACAGGCATGAGCCACTGCACCCGGCTTTATTTTATTTGAGACAGTGTCTCCCTCTGTCACCCCGCCTGGAGTGCAGTGGTGCAATCTTGGCTCTCTGCAACCTCTGCCTCCGAGGCTCAAGCAATCCTCCCATCTCAGCCTCCCGAGTAGCTGGGACTACAGGCGAGCGCCACCACACCTGGCTGTTGTTCTTCCTCCACCTCCTCCTTCTCCACCTCCTCCTCCACTTGCATCTCCTCCTCCACCTCTTCATCCTCCACTTCCTCATCCTCCACCTTCTCCTCCACCTCCTCCTCCTACTACTCCACCTCCTCCTCCTCCACCATCTCTTCCTATTACTCCTCCTCCTCATCCTCCTCCACCTCCTCCTCCTCTTACTCCGCCCCCTCCACCTCCTCCTATTACTCCTCCTACTATTACTCCACCTCCTCCTTCTCCACCACCTCCCCTTGTTACTCCTTCTCCTCCACTACCACCTCCTGTTACTCCTCCTCCACCACCCTCTCCTGTTACTCCTCCTCTTCCACTACCACCTCCTGTTACTCCTCCTCCTCCACCACCTCCTCCTGTTACTACTCCTCCTCCACCTTCCACCTCCTCCTCCACCTCTTCCTGTTACTCCTCCTCCACCTCCTCCTGTTACTCCTCCTCCTCTTCCTTCTCCTCCACCTCCTCCTCCTCCCACCTCCTCCTCCTCCATCTCCTCTTCCTCCTGTTACTCCTCCTCCTCCACCTCCTCCTTCCTCCTACTCCATCTCCTCCACTACCTCCTTCTGTTACTCTACCTCCTCCTCCTCCACCTCCTCTTCCTCCTGTTACTCCTCCTCCTCCACCTCCTCCTTCCTCCTACTCCATCTCCTCCACTACCTCCTTCTGTTAATCTACCTCCTCCCACACCACCTCCTCCTGTTACTCCTCCTCCTCCACCTTCCACCTCCTCCTGTTACTCCTTCTCCTCCTCCTCTTCCTTCACCTCCTCCTCCTTCCACCTCCTCCTCTCTTCCTCCTCCTCCTCGGATTACAGGCATGAGCTAGGATGCCTGGCTGTTCCACCTCCTCCTCTTTTCCTCCTCCTCCTC